GGCAGGAAAAACAAAAAGAAAACCTTTAGGAAAATTTGGTTTTATATACACTCTACAACATAAAAGTACCAGAGTATCTTTGATGTTTAAATATTAGTTACAGGAAAAAAAGGAAAACAATGCAGTGTTTGGAACCATTTCAGTTTTTTTTTTTAGCAGCAATTGGGAATAAAGCTCAGGGTACACACAAAACTAAAAGAAACAAGAAAGTTGTTTTCTTTGGAGAGACTAGTAGCTGGAAATGACAAAAAAAGAATAATGAAGCAAGGTACTTAAGGTCAAGTCCAGCTGTATTTTTCCTGAAAATTCCATAGCCTCTAAAGAAAGTTTTAGTGTACACAATGTAAATTTAATTGAGGAGTGTTCATATTTGCAGATGAGCTCAGTTTTAGGTAGCTGCTCACTTTGTGTCCACAGCTTTTAATGACTGAATGTCACCAAGGAATATGCTGTCAGGTTTCGCTTGGCAGCTATTTGTTCTCAAATTGTTGGCACGTATATTTTCCTTGAATTATGAAAATTCAGATATATTTGGAGTTAGTTCACACAGAAAAGTTAAGTGGGAGAAAAACATGACATTTTTACCCACATGCATCACCAGTAGAGAATCTGTAATGTTTGGTCTACAGTTAAAAAGCATCTAAATATCATTGGCAATTAGATGTATGCAATTTATTAGGAAACGAATGACATTCCTAAGAGAGAAAATCTACAAAAAGACCCAGCAGGACTTTAGTCCTCCTTCCCATGGTGTGACTGAATTGGGCACTAGACTGTGGGGCTCAGATACCCATGGACTTCAACTGAGGGTGGGAAGTTCCGTTCTTGTTGGACCAACTCACTAAATTTCACTGCTATAGGCACTGAAAAGTCTCCATTTAATAACATATGCTCATGTATCTATTTTTACTTCTAAATCTAGGAAACTATAAAATCAGGCATACAAATTTGAAATTTATGTTAGACTGCCTAATTCTATGAGACTTCTATCATTCATCCAATACATTTTTCTTGCTCAGATACTATAAGGAAGGTAATATGCTAGGAACTATGGGGGAAATAAAGAGAAGAGCTTTGTTCTTTGTCCCACAAGGAGCTTAAGATTTTGCAGGGAAAATAAGGCATGCACAAATAACTAACATGAGGCATTAGAAGAAGTACAAACTGATACAGGAGTTAGAGAAGGGAGGGCTGGTTTAGACTGCTGTGATTAGGAGGGCTCCCTGAAGCATCTGGGTCTTAGAGTTAGGGGTAGGATTTTAACTGGTAAAGATGGCAGTCATTTCCAGGCCAAAGGCACACTCCGAGAGGTGAAGTCAGAAGGTCTGCCCGGGCAAAGTTAACAGTCTCAACTGGCCGGAGAAAAGGGAACATGTGAAAAAGACTGAAGGATAAGGTCAGACAGGTGGATAGAGATTGTGGCCAGCACTGATTTACTAAGCTAAGGAAGCTGTGCTTTATTCAGGAATCAGCCTTCTGTTTAGATGCACCATGTGCTGAAGGATGCTGAGAGCGGAGTGCAGACGTGAGGACAACGGTCACAGAACGAGGGGCAGCGTAGGCCAGAAACACGTGAGAAAAAAAGCCAACAGGCTTAGCGAGATATCACCCTCCATTTTGCCTAGAGCACAAGGTATGTTTAATGTTCTCTTATCGACTTGGAAATTTTCTTTCCCCTCTTTTTTGTTTTCTTAATTAAGTTTCCCTCACTGACTCACTTCCTTCACCACCTTTTCTATTCAGAACTTCTCATTCTCTGTGGCCTACTTAGCCAGTGTCTAGTATTTTCCATTGGGAAAAAAGGCAAATAGGAACCACTCTTGTTTGAACTTTTCAGTGGGAACTGAAACTAAGTATAAGGCAGCCTGTACAGCGGCCACACTCAATGGAAGGAAGGGCTCAAGGGGCTGCAGCGGATCACCCCACCCGCAACCCTGCTGGGCTGCACTGGCAGCCAGATTAAATTCGTAGTTTTTCCACCGAAGACCTCAAATGGGAGCACAGAACTTCTCACTCATGTTTTTCAATATAAAGTAAAACTTAAGACTGAATTACTGATCAGGGGATTGGGGGTTGAGCTCTCAGGACCACCCACAGTCACATCTAAAGGGAGGATTCCACGGATTACAGAGGAAAGAAAAACAAGATGAAATCCAGGAGAACAGGGTACTCCAAGGAAGAGAAAGAGAAAGGGGATAGTTAAGAAAAAAAATTTAAGTATCTCTTAAATATAAATGAAGGTACTAGATACTTTTCTGTGAACTTTATTTCACTATTCATTTTAAAACTATTATCAAGATGATTTCTATCTAATCAGAAATTGAAAATGTCTCCAGATTCACTTTAATATTTTTTACATTTTACAATAATTTACTATTCAGTAATATATAATGTTCTAAAAAGAAACTGAAAATCTAAATAACTTCAACATATTTCCCTAATTCACTGTAGTCTTTTAAGACATTTCAGGAGTTCTAAAAAATTAATGTGAAATCCAAGTGAAATAAGCTACTGCATAGATGTATATATAATAAATATATAATATATAATGTATGTTAGTATATATATTAAAGCTTAAGCTTATTTATTTTTTAAACTTCTAAACTTATCTCTATGTACCAAGAGCCTAGTGCATAGTAAGCATTCAATAAAATCTTTGTTGAATAAATGAATCAAGATTATTGAAAAATAACTCAAAGTAGATATTCAGAAATTTTAGGCAATATTTACACATAAATATCATAAAATGAGAATCAAATCAAAATATTTAGAAACAACTCCGATTATGAATGACCTTTCAATACAAGAGATTCGCTTCATGTGGATAATGATAACTAGATTAAACTACAAATCACTGTAATCCCTTAGATCATTAATTCAGACATTGCAATATTGATATTACAGCACAAAGCAGACCTCAAATGATCTATTAGGTGAGCAACATGAGTGAAAGTTAAGTTAAAATATTTTAAAAATTCTTGGTCTAATGAATGAAAAGCTACAGGTTGAATTAAACTGATCAAAGTTAACTGCTTATTTAGAATGCATATGTGGGACTGACAGTACATTTCACACCAATAAACTGACATAAAAACAAAATGAAATCTGTAGCTCATTATTGTTTTTTCAAGGCAACTGAATTTCAGGATACTTAAGAGTATCTGAAATAATGCTAAAAGCCAAGCAGGAAAATTTCTAGACAATGGCTAATGCTTGGTGTCACCCTGATTCAACACCAAAATTCTTAAGACCCTACACACCCTTTTACATTTATAGAACATAATCTCACACCTAAAAGAATGATAAAGTGGAAATAAATCAAATTGAACCCTTTTTTTCTGGTAGAACAACTTGGACTCTTTGATGCAGTGTAATCTGGAAGAAAGAGGAGAAAGAAAAAGAAAGCTTTCCAAATCCACCTTTCAGGAGGTGATACAATGGAGGCTTCACTGTCATCACACAAGCATCATCACACAAATTTTGAGGCTTGTGGGTTTTCCCTCAAGACTGTTTGAACTCAGTGAAGGCCACAAATTCTGTGCAATCGGCATAAAACAACCACTTGCAAAACAGGGAACCCTGGCACACTCACTCAGTGTTGGTTAGGATG